CAATAGATACACTATTAATAATGTCACTATAATAATGTAAATGTACCACGAAATACTCTATCCAATAATTCAAAAGGAAACACAAATATTCAAAATGAAAATTCTAAGAAATACAAGTCTCAAACCCAGAATGAACCATACTAGAATTTAAAACGGTTAGCTGTTGTAAATCAAACTGTACCTCACCAAAGGTTTTGGCTGTCACGACAACATATATTCTGCAGAGTTTTGGGTCTTACGGTGTTTGAAACAAAACAAAAATGTAAAGGAGCATACACAATTAAATGAACCGTTATTTGACAAAGACTAAGACCAAAATCGTCTAATCGAGTTTAATCTCAACCAAATGAATATATAACAAAGTAAACTTACCAGTCATAAACTGTTATAACTGTAGGAAAATCAAGGACTTCAAAACTTTCAAACAAATCGATCGAAAAACGTTCAGTAGACCTTATCGTAGACCTAACAATCAAATATCAATACCGGAAGATATTTAATGGAAAAGGCATGGCATTCTCTGGTCGCGTAAACGAAAAGTCTTCGACCATAACCATCATTTTGCCACAAATCTAGATGAGACACCTTTAAGAAGTTCGTTTAACAGCTCTGCGGTCCGCGGGGCTCGGCCTCGCCTCCTGTCCTCACAACTCTTATCAATCCCGGGACCGGACAATTGTTATTTGTTCCTACTCGGAACCAAGTTTTGCTTCCCAACTCTGCCACTGTGCTACACTTCCCGCCCCGCCTAACTGTACAGAAAGCGGCGAGATGCATTTCCTTAGAAATCGACAAGCAGAACCGAAACTAACATTTCTAAACGAACAATGGCGGACACGTACAATTTGCGAACGAGTTCTGCCTTTTGTAAACTGAATTTATCAATAATTTGTCAATAAATCAGGGCGAAAAACGTCACTTGTCCACCGGACAAGTCAATTGAAAGATCTACTTGTCCAATATTGTAAATAACATGTCCCGGACGGTGGGACGTGTACTTTTTCGCACACTGGCATGTGTCTGTATGTCATCCGCATATTTAAGCTCTGAAAACAGAGTCAAAAGAATAAAGTCAATCAGTTGCCTTCATGTCTTCTAGCTCTGGTCACTTGTGGGGGATTACAGTGCAGCCTTGTGTCTCTGCTTCCCTGTGGCTAGGGTTAGGGTTAGGGCTAGGGTTAGGATTAGGGCTAGTCCAAAGTAAAGAAACACTGATTTAAAAGAGGTATATACTAAGCCTTTGGCCAATATGTTTTTAATTAATCTCTGACATAATTATCCAGCACCAATCCAAAAGAAACCTCAAACTTGAGACACATTAGGTGCTGGAATAATTGAGTGAAATGTACTTGCATGGAATGACAAACAGAAAAGAACACAGTGGTAGATTTCCAGATAATAGCCCTAAATCTCTGAAATGGCATCTATCTCTTCATTCTTAGAGAGAGAACCATCCAAAACATTAGTAGGATTTAAATGAACTAGAATATCAGAGTGTACACTTCCTCTCTTTGCTTTTTGGAACAAAAGCCTCCATTCTCAGTAATGCTCCTGCAGTGCAGTAACACTCTCTCTGCTCTTCTTAGCTCACAGCGCCCCTTGTGGCCAACTCCACACATAACACACACCTTCCTCCTGTTCCAGCACTGCTGTGCAAACCTTTTTCACTGCAGTTACCGCACAATAGACAAGCTTTACACCAAACAACCCCAATCAGATAAGAAAGTTCTCTGTGGCGGGGCGGAGATGTTACAGTTAGGATGCAAAACAGAACGCTGACATGGCAACAGCTGAAGAGGGGGGGGGGAACCCAGCAGGCTCCTCATGCATTTATCACTGTGAACAAGTTTAGTGAGTCACCGTCAAAATTAAATATTTCTCAGAATTCTTGTGATGTAGCCCCTGCAGGAGTTTCCAGGAAAAGAACCAGCCAAGTCACGCAGTAAGAAAGTTTGGGCTGCAGAATACACTTTTCCAGCCAATCCCAGTCTCTTTTAGGGGAACATGATCTCAGATATGACAGAGGACGATGCGGAAGAGAGACTGAGCGTTTGGGGGGGCGGACGTATCCGATTCATACCCCACCTCCCACCACATCCCCTTTTTAGTCCATAACTGACAGGGTATTAATAATTAATGTGGACAATTCTCTGGCGTCTGCATGAGTCATACTTTCTGCTACTTGGGTTCCCAAAAGCCCCATAGCTTGGATTAACACAGAAAAAGATAAATGTGGATCTTTAAAACCCTAAATTTCAACGTGGATAAATGTTTGATAGGTGCCTTTAAACAGATGGAGGGGTGATACCTGAAACACGATAAGGCCTGTGCCAAGAAAAGCTTAGAAGCTTTAAAAGTGAGAGCAAATTCAGGATGTTTAGACATGGAAACAAAACAAAGAGAGCAAGAGGTGATGAGGCTGCATTAAGATGGGCAAACTTGGTAATATTACATAGTTGAAATTAGATTTTCTGAAATGTTCATCAGGTCTGAACCACACAAGCAGTGTTTAAATGTTTTAGACTTTCGTTTTGCCTGAATTAAGATTTTAGCCTAAAAAAACACATTAAAACAAATGATGGTGAAAGGAACTGCATGACCTAAGATGCTTTCATGGCCTTAGGTGTAGCAAACACAAATTCCCCTGTCAGCTGCCTAGAACTAAACACTAAGCAAACATGTATTACGGTTGAAGGATAGCTAGTGTTTGCACATGAACCGAACAAAGTACAGCATTCTGTCACTTGAGTCTGCCCAACACTGAGCTGCCACACAAGCCAACCTGTGCTGTGGGAAAGGAAGAGCGGGCATTAAAGGACTCGCCAGTTTCAGAAGAGGAATCTTTTGTTCTTTCAAAGTAAAGCAGCCTTGAAGAGCTAAAAGGACGTTAACTAAAATAAATAGGGGGACACATTGCAAATAGGTGCTGATTTTAATACCTTGATTTCAACATGATTATACAAGAGAAAATTAACCAATATACAGGAGATTTATGACCGATAGAAAATTGTATTTATTATACTTTCCAAGATACATTCTATTCATTTGTAATGTCAATAAACACTCATAATTTTAACGTAACAATACCTTTTAAATAAGGACCGGATAGAGTTAACTTGATAAAAAGAATTCCGAAATAGAACCTGCCTTGACAATATAACCTCAAACTAAATAAATTAAACAAAAAAATTATTTGAAGCCATTATGACCGAGCATTTTCTTTTTTACTAATATTGCACATGGTGTTTTATGATATGATTCTGCCCTGATCGAACAATTTTGAGCTTCAATTCAATGAGCTTTTCCTCGTCCCCTGCAACATGTTCTCCATCCCCCCAACAATACCGGAACCATATCAAGTTTAATGCACATTTATTTTGGTTGCATAATGTTAATAAGAAACCTTTTACAAGATACTGTGGGAGATATAAGAATAAGGAAACTGCTGGAAACCTCACAGACTCTATCAGGCCTCGGCTTGTCGTGCGACACAATAAAAAGGAAACATCACAGATCACATTTCACAACCCTTCGTCCACGTCGGGTCCAGTTCTCAGGAACAAGAACCCTTGAATCGACTCAACAGTCCTCAATTAGCCTCTGATGCATCGTTCTATCAAGTCCTTTCCACTCTTCGTGTATTATTCTCTCTGAATAATACCAATAACTCTTTAAATAATCCTGCATAGAAAAATAAATTAACTATGTTGTTAAATTCTTTTACTACCAATTGAGAGCTGTTAAGGGGGGGGCGGATCACCGATTGAATTATACTAGCGGTTCGTTTGACAATTCTGGCTTGTAGTCTCTTGTTGATGACGTTCCGTCGCACAATGTGTGTGTGTGTGTGTGTGTGTGTGTGTGTGTGTGTGTGTGTGTGTGTGTGTGTGTGTGTGTGTGTGTGTGTGTGTGTGTGTGTGTGTGTGTGTGTGTGTGTGTTTGTCCTTCCTTGTAATTTACAAACCAGTCCCACAGATACAAATAATGTAAGACTTACAAAATAAATTCCAGGTTACGCTTACATGGCAAGCAGCTTTGTAATTTTTTATCCTCGGGTTTGTCATTTTTCAGAAACAATGTCCTCTGACAGTGTGTGTGCCGTTTCACCCAAAACATACATGTAGCAAGTTTGAAGAGAAACACAACTCCATTCTGAAGACACTATATTTAACATGGCTCCGTACACAAAGAGAACAAGTCATGAAATCATTCCCCAAAAAAGAGTTTTGCAGCACCTACATGGAGCCTCCTGGCAAACAGCAGGTGTTCTGCTAATGGAGGGTAATCCAGACAAGGTGGCAGACAGTCTGCAGCCGACTCCAGAGGGCAGCCCCAAGAACAAACAGATATCCCCGCAAATAAAAAATAAAAGCAAAGTAGCATCCATTGAGTCACCAACTCTAAATCTCATCCCAGAAGCGGTGATTTAGGATACTTTCCAGAGCAAAAGAACAACAAGCAACGAGCCCTCCTTTTAGTTTTTTTTCTTGTTTCTGTTAAAGGGGGATTGAAGACGGCGAGGGATATTCTCAAGCACTGTTTTCAACACCCCATCGATTTGGTTGGAAAAACAAAAGGAGGAGAAAAAGAACAACGAGAAAAACTAAAAAATAAGAAGATAAGTACCCATTTCAATAGCAGCAAAAAGAGAGTATGACTGTCTGGTTGCTTTTTAGGGTGTCCTGCTGTATTTATGTGGGATTCGTACATGTGTGAATAATCCAAAAGGTCTTTTACTGTGAGATAGATCCACGATGATTTTAGTAATAGCTTTTGTGATGTGGAGCCATTTTGTCCTTCTCTGCATTGGTCATTAAGGACTTCCAGAAGGCACTTTTTCGCTGTGTGTGGGAGTGTGTGTGTGTGTGTGTGTGTGTGTGTGTGTGTGTGTGTGTGTGTGTGTGTGTGTGTGTGTGTGTGTGTGTGTGTGTGTGTGTGTGTGTGTGTGTGTGTGCGGTGTGCTGCTGTGTGTGTGTTTGTGTGTGTGTGTGTGTGTGTGTGTGCTGCAGAGAAGACAGGAGAAGACAGAAAGAAAGAGATCGAGGGGGGGGGGGTTGAACAGTGTGTGTGTGGCCAACGGGGGAGAAAGAACCAGAGAAAGGCAAATGTGTTGTGTGTCTGTCTGCCTGCATGTGTGTCTGACCTCCTTGTGTATGTAATCAATGCACTAAATCAAACACAACAATCCCTACATCTTACTCAGCGCAGTCTGCTCCTCGAGCACCTGTAGGTAATCAGGCGTTCCTTGGAGCTTGGCTTTGAGCTCGTAATACTCACTTTTTCTCTGCTCCACCACGATCTTACTGTGGTTCCCGCCTATCAGCGACTTCTTCATCTTTTTATCCTGCGTTTTTTCGGGGTAGCGGATTTCGTACCCGCCCATCCCGATACTGTTGAAATCTCTTTTGCTGTCCAGGAAGTTCTGGATAAACATGCTGGGCTCTCGGTGGGGGAGGAACTCCTCGAGTTCGTCGATGGTGCTGAGGCGCTTGTTGCGCTCCAGGGTGGAAAGCGAGTCTTTATCCTTGTCGGCGCTGTTCCGCAGGATGATTTTCTGCCTCTGCGAGTCTGCGAACTTGAACCCAGCGTCCATGTCGGAGGAGCGTCCGATCCCGCAGGTGTGGCTCTTGCCCATGTGCTCGATGGTCTGGGGGATGAACGTCTCGCCTCCCAAGTCGTCTCCCGGGATGGAGCCTTTCTTGCCAGATTTGTGACCGTGTCTGCGGAGCTGCAACGACATGGAGCCGCACTCTTGATTCCCAAGCCCCTCCTGCCTGCCCGCTGGTTTTTTATTCCGCCTCAGGACAAAGACTAGAAGGCAGAAGGCCACAAACACAGTCACGATAAGCACTACGAGGATGCTGAGGATCATGATTGAGAGAGGCACAGGACCTGCCGGCGGGGCTTTTCCAACTCCGGCAGGCAACACTGACGTCAACATAGGGGTGGGGCCAGTGAAAATAAATGGAGGTCTAGCAATAAGCTTAGGACACAGGATCTCATTTTTCAAGAGACGCAGCTCTATGTTGGAGAACTGCACAGGAGAGGCACATTTCACCTCTTTGGCAGCCACTCCATCATTCAGCTTTTCTAGCCAGAGTTTAAGGGCGACAAGATCGCATGAACAGTCCCACGGGTTCCCTTCTAGGTCTATCTGGGTCAATGTTCGCAGCTGGTCCAAGACACCACTCACTGGTAGGGTCATGAAGTGGTTGTTTTTTAGATTCAGCCTGGCTAAAGACACACCCGCAAACATGTAGGCAGGGAGACTCCGCAGTACATTGTTGTTGAGGTACAGGAGCTGTAGGTTCGGCATAGCATCAAATGTACCCGCTAAGATTTCTTTTATGGCATTGTATTCCAAATATAGGTACTGTAAGTTTGTGAGGCCCAAAAACATCTCTGGGTGTAACTGTTCCAGCTGGTTGCCATTTAAATACAGTCTCCTCAGATTTGTGAGGTTAGAAAAAATACCTTTCTGCACTGTGACAATTTGATTGCTGCCAAGATGGAGCAAATCTAATCCCTCAAAGCCTTGGAAATCAGCCGGGCTTATGTCACGGATGTAATTTCCACTCAGGTGAAGTTTCTTGGCATTTGGGGGTTTGGGGATAAGATCACCTAAAAACTTAATATTCCTCTCCTGACAGCTGACGCTGATGCCAAAGTCAGAGGGGTGGGCTTTACAGCTGCAGGGCTGTGGACACGTCAACGGAGGGGTCCGTGTTTGAAAGGAAACAATCTGGCTATTTCTTCCAAAAGGGGGTAAACCGGCCACAATTCCATTACCATAAATCTTGGATGAGTCAGTGGCTTTTGGCCCTTTCGTTGCCAGAGGAGCCACAGTGGTCGGGGACATTTTTGAAGGTGACTGCCCATTATCAGGCGATGCAGGTGGCATCCTTACATCAAAGTCACTTCCTGTTCCCATGGGACAAAGCTCCTGCTTGTTGGTTTCTTTCAGGAGTCTGCCGTACAAGTCACTTGGTGTTTCACATATGGCCTCTCCGATAAAAATGTTATAGGGCATGTTTTCAAGCCATGCCTTGAGAGGTGCTAAATCACAGGTGCAGTTCCAGGGGTTGTCGTCCAGCTGCAGCTCTACTATTCGCCCAATATGCTCCAGAACCCCGATGTAGGGGATCTTCTGGATCCTGTTCCCCCGTATGTCCAGGTGTGTGAGTGAGGCAAAGCGGAATATGTTGTCAGGGAGTGCCTGTACCAGATTATCATTGAGGATGACTACTTTTAGCCTGTGCAGCTTGTTAAAAGCTCCCTTTTCTATGTATTTGATCAAGTTGTAGTCAGCCTGAAGGTATTCCAAGTTTTCTATTCCGTAGAAAGTGTCGGCTCGCAGCACCTTCAACTCATTATTGTTCAGGTGCAGCTGCTTCAACGCACTCATCCCCATGAACGCTCCAGCTTCGAGGTTCTGCAGCTTATTGTTCCCCAGCTGCAGTGACACAGCGTGGGTGAAGTTGAGGAAGGAGTTAGGGTAGAGGATTATTAAGAAGTTGTTTTGGAAGTTCAAGTGGTACAGGGATGAGGCCGGCGGGAGGAGCTGCGTGGGCCGATAGACGGTGATCTTCTCGCAGTTGGCGTACAGCACGTTTTCCACGGACATGCAGGAGCAGACGCTGCAGGTCTCCACCATCAAGTCCGAGGCGGACGGGTCTGCCATCTGGGGTCCGTCCGACATGGGGGGGGAGGAGAGGGAGGAGGAGAAGGAGCCGGAGATGGAGGAAGAAAAGGCTGCCAGCAGGAGTACGAGCAGCATCTCGCCGGTTAGAAATCCTCCCCCAGAAAACCATTTAGTAACCTTCGGAGAGAAAGAAGAGACAGGTGCATGCACACACATAGGCGCACATATGTGCAAACCAGCCCAGAGACACACACACACACACACACACACACACACACACACACACACACACACACACACACACACACACACACACACACACACACACACACACACACACACAGAAAGCAAACCATCAAAATGCATATTTGATATTGATTACACAGAAATTGTAATATTTCATCATTGTCAACGTTTTTTTTATGTAAAAACAGCATCAGGGACCATAAATATTTTAATGTAAGTAGTACAATATGCAAATTGCCATGCTAATGGTGCACACTTCTAATTAATGGAATCATTGCAGTGAGTAGCTTCGGCTTTGACAATGATTCACCCTCATTATTGATGTTTGATGCAGATTCTCTCTCAGACATCTCAGCATCTTATCCTGACACTCAACAGCGCAAAGCATCGTCTCGCAAAATGTCTAAGACAGCAGCACGACTATATTCGTCACCTCTCAGCATATTCAACATAATCAAAGTTCTCTTTCTCTCTCTCTTTCCTCTCATTTGAAGCCAGCCGCAGCGACACTAAGCATTCAGGGTATTTAGGAGAGCAACTGTGAGACCAGTGGGAACAGTTGGGACTGTGCCCACTGCTGACATATTGAGGGGGTTTGATAACCTTTTTATCCCACATTGGACACCATGTGATAATAAATAACATCTAGAAATAAAAATAACTCAGGAAACGGATGGAATTGTAATAAATGATAAGATGTTACACTTACCCAAAGCTGAGGTGGTGGTGCATGCGGCTCCCTCCGGAGACACGGGGCAGCATCGGGGAGACATGGAGACAGACAGTGCTCCCGGCTGAAGTAGGACACTTATAGGGGCGCAACAAGGTTCCTAAGCAGCCCCCTACTTCCCCATGTAGCTACTGTATATCAACCCGATCCGAGCAAACTGGCGGGGGTGCGGTGGAGATGGAGAAAGAAGAAGGAGGAGGAGGAGGTAGAGAAGGGGGGGGGTTTCCGATTTCACCCGATGCGTCTCTTGCTGACGGGCTCCTCTTGCTTGTAAAAATCACCCCTCTCGCTCGGTCCCCAAGGTGGCTGTGCTACCTCCATGGGAGAGCATTCGTTTGGTTTGCAAGTGGGAGATAGGGAGATAGATGGTGAGGGGAGAGAGGGAGATAGGTGGTGAGGGGAGAGAGAGAGATAGGTGGTGAGGGGAGAGAGAGAGATAGATGGTGAGGGGGGAGAGAGACAGCTTTTACAGATCTTGACAGCGCATCCGGAGACTCCAAGGTGTGAAGAAAGGCGCAAGACGGTCAGCGATGCAGGGAAGTAAGTCTGTCATTCTTGGAGCTTGTTTTGTTTTTTCAAAATTGGATTAGGAGGTAATTGGGTGTCAGGGCACGGAGAGCCAGCACTGCGCGCCTGGCTTCAGAAACGCCCGACCATCCAATGAGTAAACACTGGTTTGTTCGGGGCCAAGTTGCGCACAGGGAGAGAGCTGGAGGTAGGCTTCCATCAGGGTGAGGGCATCAGGACGTTATCCTCAATACAGGCGTAAATCCAGTTCTCTGCAAAACAAACTGTTTTCTCTTCAGTTAATTTACAGGATGCAAAGGGATTTTCTTTTGGGTGAAAAAAGGTGATGGAGAAACAAGAGCGGAGAGGAACAGGAGTCCGGAGCGTGGAAATAATGCAGCTATTCAGTGTGCTGCGGTGCACGAGAGGACTGCCAACTCCGCGCGTCCACTGAAGGAGATATCATGGAGATAAATAGTTCTTTCTTTAAAGCCAAAAGAATATCCAGTCGGAGGAAACGGGTTCAAAGAGGAGAGGAGCTGGTGGTGTCCCCCCTCACTCCTCCTGTAGGACAGAGCAGTATCCGTGTCAGGCGCTGAAGTGTGCTGGCTCCTTTCTGCAGCCGCATTCACCGAGCTTCCCACACGACTGACGGGGAGGATGCAGAGACGTGAAGGGAGAGAGGAGGGAGGGAGAGAGGAGAGAGAGGAGTCAGGGAGAGGAGGGAGGGAGGAGAGAGAGACCAGGAGAGAGAGAGAGACCAGGAGAGAGAGAGAGGAGAGAGAGACAGAGAGAGGAGAGAGAGAGAGAGAGAGAGAGGAGGGAGGGAGGAGAGAGAGAGAGAGGAGGGAGGGAGAGGAGGGAGGGANTAAAAAGTCTTAAATTTGAAAATCTGAATTTAAGGCCTTAAAAAGGTCTTAAATATGACGCAGAAAAAAAGAACGGTTAAATATGATTTAGAAGGTCTTCAAATGATCGGATTGACAGGTACTTCTGTTTGAGATCTGCGTTACATGCGTTTTGGGGGACAATGTCGGGGTGCAGTACAGTACGGTCGGGCCCTTTCGATTCCCCCCACACAATTTGTGTTGATAATAAATCAACACTGGAACCACAATCCTAACTGTGGTTTCCCCCGGCCCCGTTATCGGAGCCACAACCCAGCTAGTAACCTAGCAACCAAGCTTCAGCTAGCGGCAGCAGTAATCATGTCTTCTTCGAATCTACTTACAAATAAATATGGGGAAGCTGTAAGTTAAACCGTAGTTGGTTGGAAACATCGATATTACGTGCTTGGTTGAAACCACGTGGAGCGGAGGCTGTTTGCAAGCCCCCGCCGCACCTCTGTTGCAAAGAAACGCCGTTCTTGTTTTGCTACATGTACGTTAACTATGCACGCGTTAGCAGTGCAGCAGTCCGCAACAACACCCTGGGGACCCCGGGCCAACGTTTGGTCAGCATCAACCCTAAAAGCGCAGCGCGGTGCTGTAGTACGCTAATACCGTAGCACACCCAATCATACAACAGCAATGACACTAGAGATTGTAGGGCAGGCAGCAGCTCTGAATATACTTTGTTACTCTCACTCTCTTCTCACACCACACACAACACACACCACACACACAACCACACACACCACACACACACACTACACTACAACACCACACCACACACACACACACACCACACACACACACACACCACACACAACACACTCACAGGGCTGCTCGCTTATGGCAATTGTCACACGATTCAAATGGTATCAATAAAAATTACAACCAATAAAAAAGCTGATTGTCTCATTTTGTAACGTTGAAACTTTATTGATACTTTTAAAGTTCGTGTTTCGGACGTTACCTAGATCAGTGGTCCTCAACCTGTGGTACGCGTACCACTGGTGGTACGCAGCTCCCGCTAGTGGTACGTGGGAGAATCTGACATATAACAATAATATAAAAATAATATATATACATTTTTTTTCTTCTTTTTACTGGAAGGAACTATCATATTATTTGAATATATATATAGGACATACCTTATATAAAGGTATATTTATAAGCTTGTCTTGTTTCAAAATAACAAACAGCATCATGCATTTAACCATGCCTCATTTCGCGTTATTTTCTCTCTCCCACCCTGGTCTTTGGCTGCAGCTGACCACGCGGCCCCCCTGCAAAGAGGAGGGGGACGAGTAGCGAGCGCATGTACCATGCGTTACCATGCTGTTACCATATGCCACGGCAACCCCTCATTCCCCTGATGTAGTGGGAGTGGCCATATAGTGCGGAGCTCCTCGTCACTAGACGAGACTATTTTCAAATCTGGTAACAGAAACCTTTTATTTTTATTTATTAACCAGATTAAAAGCATTGAGATAAAATCTCAATGCACGGATATGTATCAGATCCCGTTTTTAGAGATTTTGGGTATTGGAGGAAAAAAGAGAGGGTTTGTGTTTTCTGACACTTGGGAGTTCCCCCTGACACAACGGGACACATATTCATGTGTAAAAAGACGTACAAAGTGCATTTTGCATGATAGGTCCCCTTTAAAGTGGGGTTAGGTAATTTTGGAGAAACCAGCTTGCAGTGCCCTAGAATTTGAAAATACGCAACCGGAAAAAATCTGCCACTTCCTTACTAGAGCCCTCCTCTCCAACACACACAAATGCGCACATGACCAATGAGGCACAAGATAAAGTTTGTGCACAGATGGAAGCTGACAGGCAGGGTAGGCCATCCAGTTATTTTAGCCGGGCCGGCTCAGATGATTGGTCGTGCTTTTTACAGTAGTACGGCTTCCACAGATGACATTTTTTATGTATGTGTCAAAACACTTCAGATATTCATTGCTATCGGGATGTTAAGAGCATTCCATGGAATGTAACAAAAAGTGTATCTCGAGCCGGTTTCTCAAACTTACCTACCCCACATTTAACCTTTACACATAACACAGACATATAAAATACAGGACACACAACTAAGTAAACAAAAAGACGAAAAGCAGTCACTACATTGTGCACATTTGGGACATTAAGGTACACTACTTATTACTGCAACAGCAGCTGATGGTAAGGACCTCAGACAACTTCAATTTAAAACAGGCTATAGGGACAAGTGCCATCAGTTTGAGGCTTGATTGAATAACATTAATTACAAAATAAATCATACTATCAAAATACTACAACGAATGAAAATAAGCTTGAGATAATTGAAACTGTGGTTTAAATTAGTTCTAATAGGCTATTGTTATTTTTAGATTTAGAAACGAAAACATTTTTTTTTTATTTCTGGCGTTGCTAATGACGACCATACTACCCGTGAACGATTACCGAACGTTGCAAGCAAGCTAAAGAAAGAAGAAAGCTGAATGATGTTAAAAACGTGGCTCAAAACGGGAGGTATTCGGAAGAGAGGTACAGAGGAGAATATTACCAGCGAAAGTGAACAAGTGAATGAGGAGGAGGACAGTCATCAGCCGAGTACAAGCGTAGGCTCCGCCAGCAACACAAAAGTGATATGCACAGCCGCTGTGATGGAGGAGAAAAGTGACTCAGGAAGAAGGCATTTGCTCAAAGGATGGAGAGAGGTCAAAAGCTGAAAAAGCACACACTTGTGCTTAATTGTTATCTTTTTTCTTATGTTTTTTCTTTTCTTTTTTACTTTGCCACCACAGAAATGGCAATAGCAAACATCAGCAGACTGAAGATGAGCTATTAGGCTCATCTGCTCCTGGAGGCTTCATTATTATTGGAACTGAATTCCCAATAGGACATTTTCTGTTTCGATGTGGGTTGTTGCAGGAAGCCTACATTCACACTTTGGTATAGGTCCAGGAAATGACATGTGTGTACAGTTGACATTTGTTGTGTGAGAATAAGTTATTATTTTGTTCTTTATATTCTCACTTGTGTTGTGTGAGTGAGTGAGTGAGTGAGAGAGAGAGAGAGAGAGAGAGCACAATAAATAATGGCATTATGAATACATTTGCCTCCGAGTCCTGCATGAACTGTGCATAGACTGTATTTTAACATTGGTCATATGGTGGTACTCGGAGAGCCAACTATTTTCTCAGGTGGTACTTGGTGGAAAAAGGTTGAGAACCACTGCATTAGAGGATTACTTTTAGCTTTCTTAGAGATGAATGCCCATTTCCACAAGATGCTTATATCTGCAAATATTTAGCCAATATACAAACTGCTGCATGTCTCCAGAAGATATTCATCATTGAAATTAACATACAATAAGACTCAGAACATTTAAAATGTTCAGCATAGTCCTATTGCCATGTCACGGGGGAAATAAGTAAATAAACCAATACCCAGGCACCAATTGATTTGACATATCTTAAAATGTAAAATAAATGAGTCAGAGTTGGATATCCCTTTGCTGTGAAACATCAAACATATTTTACACATGCATCATCTGCTTCTACTGTATGTGTTAATGTCATTCTCAGAGTGTAAACTGAATAAGCGCCTGCTGTGATGGTTGGGCACAAAAGAAAGTAATACTATGAGGATGAGATGCATTTCAGTCTGATGTGGGAAATCCAACATATTTTGGATTGCTGCAAATTAAAACATTTTATTGGTGAAATGCAGAAAAAAAAGGCCATTTGCCCTTTAAATATCTTATTCCAAGATGTCTTGTATCAAACAGCATAATGATGGAAAACACTAACTGTTTTGCCCCCTTCATTATATGATGTCAACATGTATCAACCCCCAGTGTTGGAATATGGATCTGTGCCAGTTGTGATGGAGCAGATGGACGAAAGTCAAGATGAAGATCAATGTGGACATGCGTCTTGTTGAAAGTCAGAGGCCAGTCCTCATTCCTCCGAGGGCAGGCGAGGACACGGTCTTCAAGATTTCAGCACTTTCAATATTAGTTTGTGCTCTCCGTGTATTCCATCATTGTTTGGTTTTCATATTCAGAATGTCACATTTATAGTGGCAAGGTGGACAATATTGATTTGTTCAGGAAAATGTGGCAAACAAATCTGGCCTGGAATAACAGCAAAGCCACTTATTTCACCCACAGCTAACTGTTTTTGATCAAACAAATTGCTCCGAATGGATTGGAAGAACATTACACGCCTGTGGCATTAAACACAAAGCAAGATTTACAACTTATCCAAAGTAATCGGACAAAAATAATGTTATTTTACAGCTTCAAATGTCCATAACCATTATTTAATCAAGCGAAGCATGACTTCATTGCCTTATTATATCTTAAGTTCCTTAAAAAGAACCCTCCTCCTCTGTTCCATGAAATATTTGCATAAAATATTAATTTTCATACGTGTTCCTCCTGTAGATCTCCTTAGAACCCCTAATGATGGTTTTCAAAGCTCTTAACATTCTTGGGCCTACCTATTTATCAAATGTGTCAAACTTGAACCTGAACCCTCTAGAAGCCTGAGTCTTCTGGAACCGGCCTTTTAATTATTCCTCAAGTTAGAAAAAAGACCCACGGCATTATTATTATGACCAGGGGTGCACATAACTGGTACGCAGGTACGCATGCGCGGCAAACATCTGAAATGGGTAACGTCACTTGTGTCACAAAGCGCCTTTGCGTACCGACGGACTTGTGAAGCTTTTCCAGAAGACGCTTAGATCACAGGACGACAGTCAGTCGCCG